CTCTGACTCACAAAGTGTCTCTAAGAACACCGCTGGGTAATCCCCTCCTCTCCAAGTCATCATAATTAGAAACTGATGAGGTGGTCTCACAGAGAACAAGCTTCTTTGTAAACCAGATGCTTTAGAAAGCAGAAAGCTCTTAGGTCATTTGATGAACAGAAGCAGGAACAAAGGCTACTAGTCTCTCTGACAAATGGAGCTATCATTTCCCTCAAATCTCAGAATGTATGAGAGGTAAACTAATGGGTGTGTGGGAGGGGTGCCGAGAAGCTGGTGGACAAGGGAAGACTGTTGGTCCTGCAATCTTGGAGGGGAGGAAGGGGGTCCAAGACAGGGGACAAGTCAAAGTAGTAGATTCCAGTTCATTCATAGTTTGAGCTTCAATATTTATTTGTTGGGAAACCTGGATGTGTTATGATGCGTAATCCATTCAGCTGTGCTCAGTGTTCCTCCACATATGCTCCACCCACAAAGGGGGAGAGTGTTGGCATAAAAGGACAATTAACAAACCTTAGAGCTTTTCATAGAATGCCAGAAGAGTTAAGAGCTGAGATTTCCAACCAAGTGTGTCCTTTCTCTTTTCTTTATTTGAGGTCTCTGGTTGCTTCTTTCTTCCCCCAAGCAGCTGGTGTGTTTAGAAGGCCCTACACCTACTTCCTGCTTGAGAAAGACCCCACCTTAGGTTTTCTGGGGTGGGTCTCAAGAAGACCTCTGGACTTGCTTTAGAATGGGCTTTAGATTAGAGGCATTGGGGTTCACTTGACCTACCATCATCTGACTCCGATCACCAATACTACCCCTCAACATTGGGACTTGTGGTCAGAGATTTATGGAAGTAAATAGTGGATATTTCCCTGGATTTGTTCTCTGAGGGTATCGTCCAGTTCAACAAATATTAATTAACTGTATGCTACAATAGAGTTTTGCTCTCACGCAGCCTATGTTCTATTGGGGTACAGAGGGTAGGTAAAGTAATAAATATTTAATGTCACATGGTGACAAGAGAATGGAGTGGTAGTGGGCTATTCTACAAGATGGTCATAAAAGGTCTCTGTAGAAGTGATACATAGCAGAGACCTACATCTATCTGAGGGAGGATTTTTCAAGAAATGGAATAGCAACTACAAAGGTCCAGAGGCAAGAGCAAGTTTAGCAAGCTCACAGAAGACCAAGAAAGCCAGTACCACCAGGTAGAGAGAGAGAGAGGAGGGGAGGTAGGGCACAAAGTGAGGAGGGGGTGGGAGTAAAGGTAACTAGGTACTGAGGGCTGTCTTAATCATCTCTGTGTTCCTTGAGTCTAAAAGATTTCCCTGAAGCCCTGTGGTCCACTGGGCTGTTAATCTGAGCCTCAGTTAAATATCTGGATGTGACTAGCAATGGCTTGAAAGAATTAATGCAACTTTCCAAACTGCTTATCTAAATTGTAAAGAAGAAGAGAAACCAGCGTGTCAAGAGACTGAAGTGGTTTGTCTCAGAACTTTCTACCATTCCCCTTACACTCCCACCATCCCTAAGACAGGTAAGATTTACTGTCCCCATTAAAGAAGGAAGGAGCTGATTTGCACCTTCCAGTCCCCGGGCTGGATGAAATGGTGGAGCTCATGCCTATGGGCTCTCATTCTCATGCCTTCTCACTTTGGACAGTATCATCCCACCCAAGCCCAGAGAAAAACCTGCTTACTTTTTACTTCATAATTATAAAATCCCATACTTATTTGCACATGTTTTAAATGTCAACTGAATCATATAGCCTGTATCTACTTATATTTTTTAAAAGATAGAGAAATTAATTTTTATTTAGTACAAATTTAAAACCATATGAGTTTTAACATCTACTATCCTTGAATTGAAATATGATTTAGTTCTAAATAAGCACTGGATTCTATCAGGGGGCCTATTGTTATTTTTCCAAAATCAGGGTTGGGGAGGCAAGAGGGGCATTCACTCATTAGCTCATTCCCCAGCTATTCTATTGATGAACTGATTATTACAACAGTCTTGATTTAAGGGACACATCTGAATCCTTATAGCTTCCCAATTCTGTTTATTGTTTTGCTTTCTGAATCCACCCAGAACAGTCAGTCTAGTCCTCTATTCCTGCCTTGGCACAGCCCTCCAGATACAAAGGCCACCCATGCCACCTCTCCCTCTTTTCTTCTGCTCATGACCAAGTGTTCTCTGCTGCTGTGCTCTGGTTCATCAACAAGTGGTTCCATGAGACATGGCGCTAAGGATTAAAAATGATTCTCCGCCAGCACAGAGAGATGGGCCATTTAAGCTGGCTTCACTGTTTCTTCCTCATTAGACAGTGTCTTTTTTCTCTCTCTCTCAAGTTCCTTCCTCTTTATGGATCCCTTGCTATTTGTGGACAACATTTAGCTATTTCCTTGCTCCCTTTCCTGAAAATATAAACAGTGTTCGGCATCTAATTTTCTTTTTCATGCCTCATATCACCTTTGTTCCCCATCTTTAAGGTTTCTATTTGGGCATGTGTTTGTCTTTAAGTGTGTGGCATTTGGTACAGTGATCAATTATCCCGGTTAATTGCTCCTCATTTGAGAATCTCTATTCTTTCTCATTAAAAACCAGATGAGAGGACCTCCTCTCATTGACCAGGTGCACCAGATCTCTTACTTATCCCCAATTTGCCATTTGGCAGTTTAGTGCTTACAAGCTCATTCACTGAGGGGCCTAATTTGAGTAGCTTGTGCTTGCTCAGTGGGGCAGCTGTTTCCTCTGTTCTGTGCCCTCCTGGCAGGGAGACAGCACTGTTTTTTCATTTTCTCGGGTGGCCCAGGGATCTGCTAAATAAGCAGGAGAGAGCAGTATTTTTTTAGTGGGGGAGACATGCATCTTTACAAACCCAATTAGGCTTTCTCTCCTAGTTCCCAGGTATCTTGGTAACAAATGTCCACTTTGTCTTTCTGAGGTTGTAAAATGAGGCTAATGGCCCTTTCTCATTACTTCTCAGCTACACTAGGCTTTTTAACACCTCTGTTCAGTGCCTTGTTTACTGGTTTACATTATTTGCTGCTGTTTTAAATGTGACTTCCTCTTTCTTATGAGACACACCTCCTAAAAGTATGTAGCAGCTCCTGTGCTGCATATTTAAGAATTCAGATAAGTCAAAAGTGGGCATTTGACGAGAGAGTACACTCAGGAACCATAACTTAAAATTCCAGTCAGCAGGCCTTTGGAGACGTAAATTGAGGCAGCTTAATGATCTGTAGTTAATAGTGAGAGGCTGCTGAGCAGATGCAGGACAGCTGGGCTTAGGTTAGCCTTTCTCAGCTTTCCAAATTGCAGGGTGATACAGCCATTGAGATTCAGATTCCTACCCGGAATCAATAGCCAAGAGCACGACGATGTGGCAGTGCCTTGGCAGTGTGGCCTTTTCCACAGTGTTCTGCCCAAGCCAGGATCCGATGCCTCCCTCCTGAGCCCACCCAAGGCTGGGCAGTCACCTGTACAACCAATAGCCCCTCCAACAAGTCTGGGACAAAAAGTACTGAATTTAAAGCCAGTCTCTCCCTCTTACTTGAGTGAACACAATTTCACTGAACTCGAGAGAAACAGTGTAATCTCTTGGTAGCAAAATACACGTTTGGGAGCCATATATCCACAGCTGCCGGAGGCAGTTGATTGTTTTTACTCCTGGTATATAAAACCGCCTTGGATTACTGTGTGTTGGGATAGCAGGTCCTTTTACAATTTCCAGGATCTTATTATTTTCACTTAAAAGTCCAAATGAATTCAACAACAACAGCAAACAAGCTAGCAAAGAAACAAAAAACCTATTCAAAAATGGGCAAAGGACTTGTATAGACATTTCTCCAAAGAACATGTACAAATGGCCAATAAGCACATGAAAGTATGCTCAATGTCACTAATCATCGGAGAAATGCAAAGCAAATCCATAATGAGGTATCGCTCTACACCCATTAGAATGACTATTCTCAAAAACAGAAAATAGCTGTTGACATGATGTGGAGAAACTACAACCATTGGGCAGTACTGATGGGAATGGAAAATGGTGAAGCTGCTGTGGAAAGCAGTATGACAATTCCTCAAAAACAGAATTACTGCCCAGCTGGAGTGGCTCAGTGGTTGAGCATCGACCCATGAACCAAGAGATCGTGGTTAGATTCTCAGTCTGGGCACATGCCCGGGTTGCCATCCCAGTAGCGGACATGAGGGAGGCAGCCAATCAATGATTCTCTCTCATCACTGTCTCTCTCCCTCTCTCCCTTTCTCTCTGAAATCAATAAAAACATATTTTAAAAAATAGAATTACCGTATTATTCAGCAATTCACTTCTGAGTATACCCAAAAAGAATTAAAAGTAGGGCTCAAAGAGATATTCATACACCCATGCTCATAGTACCGTTATCCACATGGCCGAAAGGTAGTAGCCACCCAAGGGTTCATTGCTGGATAAATGGAAAAACAAAATGTGGTGTGTACATCCAGTGACTGGGATTCAGCGTTGAAAATGAAGGAAATTCTGCCATAAGCTACAACATGGATGAACCTTGAGGACATTATGCTCAGTCAAATAAGCCCACAAAAGGACAAATCGTCTATGGTTCCACTTATATGAGGTTCCTAGAATAGCCAGATTCATAGAGATGGTGGGTAGAATGGTGGTCACCAAGGGCTGTGGAAAGGGAGGAATGAGGAGCTGTTGTTTCATGGGTACAGGGTTTCAGTTTTGCAAGATGAAAAGGGCTCTAGCGATGGATGGTAGTAATGGTTGCACAACAGTATTAATGTCCTTAAGGCCACTGAATTGTGCATTTAAAAATGGTTAAGATGGTAAATGTTATGCTATGTATACTCCGCCACAATGGTTTTTTAAAGCCCAAGTGAAAGATGCCTTCTTCTCTTAGCAATCCAGGCTTTGGAGGGACAGATTAGAAACAGGAGAAGAGAAAAAAAAAAGCTAAGGGAGTGGATCTTGACTTTACATGCAACTAATTACAGATTCGCTTTTCTTACAGAGTCATTTTTCTCTCAAGAAGGGAGCTGCAGCCTTGGGTATTGGAACAGACAGCGTGATTCTGATTAAATGTGATGAGAGGTGAGCATGAATATGCAGCCCTTGTTGGTTAGCAATTTGCAGATTCCACACATGTACCTTTTAGTCCGAAAACAGGCGATGACTGTGGGGCAGCAAACCTGCCTCCATCCTGGCCACTGCCATTCACTTTCTTTTTCACCTGGGCTCTTGCTTGGAGTCACGGGACGGTGTCCCTCGATGCCATGGAGCCTTCCATGGCCCTTGACTGAATCAGAACTTTCGTTAAATCTATCAAAATATTCTGCACCAGGATGGTGCACAGGGACATTCATCAGTTGGGCACTTTAGCAACACCAGCAGCTTGATCACTGATTCACGGTGATGTCATCATTCTAGGCACCGTGGATGGTGTGAATTGATGGAGCAGTTACAGTGGGGGAGGCATTTAGTGAGTAAGGAGTAAATAATGCCCCAGCAACTCATCAGCTTTGTGCTGGAACCAAAGAAGAATCCCTGTTTTAATTGACACCCATACCTTCATAGGTACTCTGTGAATAGCAGTGGGGGAGATTTAATAGCATTTTCAGGATATTCGTGTAAATTATCACTGGCCTGTAAGCTTGGAACCTATAAAAAATGAAATGCATTGAGTAAGAAATTTCACTAAATTAAAAGGAAGCCACTCAATTAACCACTTATTTATTCATTTGAACTTATTGGACAGATATTTATGATTGCCCACCAGACCACTGAGCTCTCAGAAAAGATAAGGTATAATCCCAGTGCCCTGACAGTATGTGATCCAGGTGGAGAGAGGGAGTAGCATCAGAAAAGACATTTATATGATTGGCTTGTGTGGCCCGGAGGACATATTCTCTACATTGGTAAGGCTTGGAAGGCTTCATGCAGCAGGAAGGGCTTAAGCTGGGTTATTAAAACTGGAGATGAGCCCAGCTGGACATGGCTCAGCGGATGAGCGTCGACCTAGGATCCAGGAGATTGCAGTTCGATTCCCGGTCAGGGCACAGGCCCTGGTTGCGGGCTCGATCCCCAGTCGGCAGCCTGCAGGAGGCAGCCGATCAATAACTCTCTCATCGTTGATGTTTCTATCTCTCTCTCTCCCTCTCCTTTCCTCTCTCTAAAATCAATAAAGATATAGTAAAATGATAATAATAATAATAAAATTGGAGATGAATTGGATGGATGGAGGGAAAGGGTAGGAGCAATTGCAGAAGATTGAACACTGTCAGCAAAGCCACAGAAGTAGCAATGAGCTTGTGGGGCTTGAAGAGAAGGGGACAGTCATGACAGATATGTTTGGCCATGTGGGATTCTGAAAGCTCAAAAAACTAATTAATTAATAACCATATCTCCCTCTGGAAGATAAAATTACAAGAAATTGCCACTTTTTTGTTCATACCTTTATATATTTTCTGAATTTGTTTGTTTGCAAGGAACACACATTACTTTTACTTGAGGAGAAAAAAGGTGATGTTTTATTTTTCCTTTTTGGGGGGAAAAAAAACTAAATAGCATTTGAGCTTAGTGGGTCTGGAGACCAGGTAACTTGCAAGCATTTTTATCTGTGAAGGGCATGAATGAAATACTCTTCAGAAGCCAGGAAGAGGAGAGACTGGTGATTCTAGCAGTAAGGTGGGCATGAAATTACAGATGATTAGAGTGAGGCGAACACATTTTGGAAAAGGAACCGCCTTATATTTTTAAGGCCGCCTTATATTTTTAAGTTCTTCATTATCGGGTACTTAAGAATTAAGACTTGAGGAGAAAACTGGCACAGACACAAAATTTGCTAACTGGGGATAAAGGTTAAAATAACAAATAATTTTCTTAATCTGTAGCCAAACAGTTATAAGTAATGAGCCTAAAATTCAAGGAAGAGTTGTCTGACAGGCCCTGTTTTCCCAATCTAGTCCATTTTCCTTCTCAGCTGAATTGGCAGGTATTCTCGAGTTGAATCCCAGGGAGAGGGTAGATGACCTGGGACAACAGAGGGGGCTCTGGACTCTACTCCTTATGGCACCAGTGTTACTGCTTCTACTCCTGTGACAATCAGGCTGTGACCATGGAAATGGCCTTGGGATGAGGCCACCAAGCCTCATGCCAGGCAGGTATTCCTGAGAGCAAAAGGCCGGCCTGAGAACATCTGCCTGTCTGGAGGCAGCATCATGCTCCCGAGGGAAGCGGAGGCCTGGAAGACAGAGGAGAAAGAAGGAAAAGCAAAGTGCTGCAGGGAAAGGAGCCAGAGGCAGGGCTGCAGCTCAGAGGCCCAAAGGTGTCTTCGTTCCCTACCAGCAGGGCCAGGGGGCTTTGTGGGATGGGGAGGGGAGGAGAGAGCAACCCAGGAGAAAGAAGAGAGAGAAAAGGAAAGAGAAAAACACAAGAAATAAAAGGTGGGAGAAATGAGATTAGGAGAAAAATCTTGTGGTGGATGCATGAAACTAAGCGGGGGGAGGGGGAGGTAGAGGGAAATGGGAGTGGGAGCAGGGAACATTTTTACCATTTCAAAAGCAGTATGTGCTTGCTTTTTAAAAAGTAGAAAACAACAGGGGAAAAAATCATAATGCTACCACCTAAAGATCATCACTAATACTATATTGATGTCTAAACCTTTGAATCTCTTCTTAAGCATAGAGGTTTATTCTTTTTCTCTCTCCCCTTTGAATAATATTCATGCTTGGGATCATGTTTCGTTTTCTAACTAGATGTGATAACATAAATGTTTTTCTACATTATTAAAAACACAACACACTTAACTACACAACTTTGGAGGTGTGTGTGACTGTCGGAAAACATGATAGTACTTTGAAGGGCTGGCTCTGGAGCTTAGATAAATCTCAGCTCCGGCACTAGCTGGGACAGATGCCTCTGGGTGCCTGTTTCCTTATCTAAAAACAGGAAAAAGTAATGGCACCTGCTTCATAGGGTTGTTGTGCAGATTAAATGCATTGACAAATGTAAAATGCTAAAATTATAGCTAGAACAGAGAGATCACAAAATATCAGTCCCCTACTCTTTATTTCCCTATTTCTCCTGTTGCTGTTATAAACAACCTTTACATCCGTCGGTGAACATTCTTATGTGCCCAGGGCTTTTCCATCTACGGTTATTTCTTTGTATAATTGCCAACCCAAACTATATGAACAGTCTTAATTAAAGTGATGCATCAGGCCAAATTGCCTTTCAAAAGGTTTCATGAATTTACTCCTAGCAGTATTGTCTGAGAACATTTTGGAAAAGAAAATTAAAGCTATGTTGGTAGCTACAGGTAATCTTTAATTCTAATAATTCACACCATCTGTATAGCATGAGTTTAAGATTGAGAGCCTGGACTAAGTGCAATTGAAGTGTTTGGGGTCAGGAGTCAGGAGGAGGCCTTGAAGAGTCACCTGCAGCCACGATTCCCGTCAGAATCTGTTCCCACACTCTGGATAGACATTTTGTCTTCATTATCAAGTCCCCATAAAAGTCAGGTATATAGTTCAGAAAATCACTTGAGACTGACAAAGTGCATACCTACGTTCTTGTTTCTCCTCGTGTGCTTTGCAAAGTTCATCCAGACTTTGCAAAACATGAACCTGGACCTGCTCTCTGAGGCTTTCCCTTCTTCCAGTTACTCTTTCCGACTCTGCAAATTAGCCTATCAGTGACTGGGGTGACAGGTTTTATCTTGTTCTGCAGACAGTTGACTTTGTAAGAAGCTCACAGTTGAAGGCAAATACACCAGTGAAAAAGGAGAATAGTCTGTGACCTTCTAACAACAGGATCATAGCCACATGTGGAAGAAGATCCCGAGAGATACTGCCCCTTAATTAACAATTATAGAGCCTCAGTTTGGTGGCCAATTCAAAGTGAAACATGGCTCTCAGTTAAACATGATTCCCAGAAATGTAGAGTAAATCATTCATTTGGAATAGTTTCTCTCGGTTGAAAATTAAAAAGCATTTTAATTTTGTTATATATACTCTAACAAGTAAAATAAGATAGGGTAATGGAAAAACCTCAGTTCACCATGCTTTGCATTTTAATGGAAGTGTCATAACTAAAAAGGGTATTGTATTTTGGAAAAATTAATTATTAAGTTCAAAAGAGGAAAATGTGTTAAATGAATCCTTAATTTCCTAAGTTTTAATTTAAGAGTTCCCTTTCCTTGCCAGCAAAAAGTTGAATATTCCCAGTGATGGGATTAATGAACTTTTATTCAAGTGTCATTGGATCTAATAATTGCAAAATTTGAATTAGTGGAATCTAAAGTAATGATGCATTGATGTGTCTAAGGACAGAGAAGAAAAGTCTGAGTTAGTATCTAGAAGAAAATAAATATTTGTGGAAGAAAACTGAAAGATATTTCAGAATTGGATTAGTCCACTGGCCAAAAAGATATTTCCCAGAGGTGCAGACAGGGGATGAGAAGAGAAAACTTCCATTCTATGGATGATAATTTGAAAGAATAGGACGCTCCCATATGATGGAAGTGAGAGCCCTGTGAGCTACTTCTTTGGGCTGTAGACAGTGGCCTTGGTTGGAAGCACAGTGGTAGACAAGGTGGACATAGTCACAGACGCTGCAAAACTTAGTCTGGTGTGCAGAAGGCAGACTTTGAAGCAATCAGAGGCCGTGGCATACGCCGAGCCATGGATGTGGGAGAAGTTGGCTTAGAGCGTGCCATGGGGCGAAGTGGTCAGAATGTCCTTGTCCTGAAGCATCTTGTAAGCCATGTTAAGCACTTTGAACTTTAGGCTGAAGACATGGAACATCGCTGAAGGATTTTGAGCAAGGGAGTGACTTCATATTTTTATGTTAGAAAGATCATTTTAAATGCAGATTGATGTGTGGGTTAGATGTTGGAAGTCGGTGGCTGTGGTAGTGAGATGAATAGAAGGTGATGCATGGTGGCTGACATGCTGTAAAGCAGTGGAGATGGCATGATGGAATTAATAGGAATGATTAACTGATTGGCATGCAGGCCAAGAGAGGACTCAGAATGAATGCCAGGCTTCTGCTTGCCAGCTAAGCCCATATGATGCTATTCTCTGTTATAA